CTCAAGGTGTTCAGAACTGACACATTATGGCAAAGTAGCTATACATTTAGGGCCCATATCATGAGAAGCTTTATTCAATCACCTGAGTTGAGTTTGATGCAGTATGTAAACATTAAATTAATCAAAATATAACATTCACTCCTCGGTCCATGCATCCCAAATAAGGAAACTAGGCAATAAAAACAGCTCATTTTTGATTTTTTAATTTTGTTATGTCACTAAACGTTTACATATATCCTCCAATTTTGTATACAGGAGTTTGGCTCCGCCCACTCACATCAAAGTTATATGAAGTGTTACAAGGAGCCTGGACTGCTTTTTGCCAATACAGTGCAGCCAATCAGAAAAGAGGTATTGCAATGTATGTCAGTATTAAAGGGGAATTCCACCAATTTTAATTCAACTGTGTTGAGGTAAGCAGTCATTCAGAGTGGTTTGGTGTGAAATGGTTCAGATGTCTTTACAGCGGTGGTGATAGGAACCAGGGGTCGCCATGACTACAACACAAATATAGACATTTTATTTACCATCCAAAACCACCAGTGAACCTACACGAGTCTTCTGAGTTTATATGGAATGTTCATGATGGAAAATCTGAAATAATAAGTTTTCTTTGGGGACTATTTTGCCTCAAAACACCCTGCATGTATCCCTCCACCATGAATGGATTAAAATAAATTGATTAGCAAGGCCGACACTTTAACGCAAAACTGTCGTAAAACAGTGTCTCAGTCATCAGGCAGTGAATTCATAACCATTTCATGTAGGAACTTTCTGTGAGGGGGCTTTTAGAGGTGGACGTCTGGTTCCTATCACCACCACTGTGAACAGTTCTGACTCGGTAAGTTTAACAGAGCGTTTCACACCAAACCACTCTGAATGACTCTGTTTACATCTAAACTGTTTAATTATGTGGAAATTTTGAAAAGATTGGTGGAGTTCCCCTTTAAGGGCACAGTAACAGAAACAGCCTGTTTAACTGGTAGAGATAGAAAGAAGGCAGAAATGGTCACGTGACAGTGAATTACTGTATTTCCAGGCTGGAAAGAATGAAATGTAAGAAAAGCTGGCCCTTTAAAAAGCAGCATGATGCACAACATGAGCTGTGACCATCGGGCGGTGAGTTTTGTTCTCTCGTGTCCTCAGCGTGCCCCCTCAGCACCCCTGTATGGTAATTTTCTGCCTCAGCAGTGCCTGTGCAGATAATGCATCCTCTTGGCCTTATGTTCACTCGTCTCGGCTGGAATCGGCCCGTTTCCTGTTCCACAAAAAACTCTGCCCAGACAACCACAGCCCTGAGAAAAACAGGAAAATGACACATAATGAGTCCTGTGGGCGCTGAGGGAGCTGCAGCGAGGAGGAGGCCTGAGCTCGCGGGGGCACGAACTGCACCCCAACCACAGTGTTCACCTCGTAGCAGGTGCTGCTCGCCGAGGCAGAACGTTAAAGCCCAGGAATCATTACAGTCATAGGCAAAAGGTTTGGGCGCCCCTGGTCAAACTCCACGTTTTGTTGATTTTCTAATGGAGAATAAGCTAAAACATCCTCTACACTCTCAGAAATAAAGGTACTAAACTGTCACTGGGGTGGAACCTTCAAGGGTCCATCTCAGTACCTTTAGTCAGGGAACATAACTGAACCATAATCCACTGAAATGATATGTTCTAAGCTGTACTGACTCCACACACCCCGTCTCGTCTCCAGGCTTTTATTTTACTGTTCTGTTTAAAACATTCGGTTATGAAAAGGTACAAATACGAACTTTTCACCTGGAAAAACTTATTTAAGGTTCACAATCAGACCTTAAAACCACTGTTGAACCTTTGAGGGAACATTTACACTGTTTGTACCTTGATGAATGAAAAATGTACCAGAACAGAACCTTTATTACTAACAGTGTACAGAGAACACACCATTGCACATTTTAACACACAGTTACTGTTTATTTACTGAATTTAACATATTGGGGGAAGATAAATCATAAAATGTGGCCTGTGCTCATTTTGTAGTTTTATTTATTTCTACAATATGTTAAACTCCGTTAATAAATGGAAATTGTGCAGCAAAATTTGCTGAAAAAAAAATATTTTTGCTAAAATCAAAGAAACAAAACGTGTAATTTGACTGGGAGTGTTAAAACTGCAGTGTGTAACTATTTACATTGACCCACTTGATGGATTTGTACCGTCCTGCGTATTTAATAATGATAACAATGGTATGAATGCCCTGCGATGGACTGGCGACCTGTCCAGGGTGTATCCTGCCTTCCGCCCAATGACAGCTGGGATAGGCTCCAGCACCCCACCGCGACCCAGAAGGATAAGCGGTTTAGATGATGGATGGATGGATGGATGGTATGAATGTCATTTCATTAACTTATGGTGGTGACAGCATCTGTACAGCTTTATGCTGATATGCTGTCTTATTTTGCACCAACAAGAGAACAATAGAGCCTGACACATACACTTCACTCTTAGCCGAAATGGTTCTATATAGTACCAAAAAAGGTTCTATGACTTGTAATAATAGCCGGACTCTTTTTGGTGCTACATAGAACTATTTTTTTTAATGTTTTTTAAAGAAGCATACATTTGCAGCCCAGCACATCACCGGGGTCCAGCTCCCAGACCTCCTGGATTTATACACCAGCCGCTGCCTGAGGAAGACCAGGAGGATTCTAAAGGACTCCACCAGCCCGAGCCAGTGTCTGTTCTCACAGCGGCCGAGCGGGAGGAGCTACAGAAGCACAAAGTCCAGAACCAGCCGGTTCTGAGACAGTTTCTTCCCCCGGGCCATCAGGCTGCTGAACAGCCAGTAGTGCTGGTGCATCGGTCTATAGGCCTGTCGCTGCACCTCTGAGTCATCATCATGATGATCTCCATGGACAATCCACACTGCCTCTACACCTCAATCAGACTCGCTCTGATCTTACTGCACCTTCAATCCAGCAAATCCATGTTTACACATATAGATTGACATCTTGTACATCTTCTGTCCATATCCTGTATAATCTGGAAGGGGTTCTATATGAATATTCTATCCACTGTGTACCTGCATCTCATTTATTATCTACCTCAGACTAACTGCACATACGGAAATCTGGACAACAGTACAGATCATAGTCTTATTTAATAACTTATTACTGTACAACTGTACGTTGGAAATAGTGCTATACTAGTGTATATTGTGTATATGTGTATATATTTAGAGTCTGTGTATTTATACATTTCTTTTTTCTTCTTATATAGATGTATTTTGTATTTAAGTTCTACAAGGAGGCTACACACCTAAGAGTTTCCCTTGCGCCTGTGTAAATGTAATGTGAATTCAGATGTCTTTACAGTGGTGGTGATAGGAACCAGGGGTCGCCATGACTACAACACAAATACAGCCATTTTATTTATTATCCAGAACCACCAGTGAACCTACACGAGTCTTCTGAGCTTATATGGAATGTTGATGATGGAAAATAGTGGAAAATCTGAAATAATAAGTTTTCTTTGGGGACTATTTTGCCTCAATACACCCTGCATGTATCCCTCCACCATGAATGGATTAAAATAAATTGATTAGCAAGGCCGACACTTTAACGCAAAACTGTCGTAAAACAGTGTCTCAGTCATCAGGCAGTGAATTCATAACCATTTCATGTAGTAACTTTCTGTGAGGGAGCTTTTAGAGGTGGACGTCTGGTTCCTATCACCACCACTGTGAACAGTTCTGACTCTGTAAGTTTAACAGAGCGTTTCACACCAAACCACTCTGAATGACTCTGTTTACATCTAAACTGTTTAATTATGTCGCAATTTTGAAAAGATTGGTGGAGTTCCCCTTTAAGGGCTCAGTAACAGAACCAGCCTGTTTAACTGGTAGAGATAGAAAGAAGGCAGAAATGGTCACGTGACAGTGAATTACTGTATTTCCAGCCCAAGATGTCCTTTTTTCTTATATAGATGTATTTTATATTTAGGTTCTACACCTAAGAGTTTCCCTCACCTTGCGCCTGTGTAAATATGATGTGACAATAAACGTGATTTGATTTGATTTGACAACTGAGTATTTAATCATATAATTCTATACAACCTTTTCTTTACTAAAGAACCCTTGAAGAACCATCCTTTTTAAGTATATAGAGAAGAACAGTTTAACCATTTAAGGAGCCATTTTTTTCATTTAAATGGTTCTTTCAGTGTTCACTCTTCTGTCTTGACCCATTGCCTTTACTGAAGAACCCTCGAAGAACCCTTTTTTCGGCGTGTGTGCAGTGAGAGGCTGGAGACCCTAAGAGGTTCCACTGCAGGGCTGTAAGCTAAACAGTGCTAATGTCATTTCTTGACCCACTGCTTCTGTACTTTTTTTGAAAATGTGTTTTTTACTTGTACTTTATTTGAGCGGGAGACATGCATCCAGTCTTGTGCAAAAGTTTGGGCGCCCCTGGTCAAATTTTCCGTGCTTTGTTGGTTTCCTAAGTGGACAGAAGAGAACACATCCACCACAGAGAACACACTTCTGCACTGAATCTGACCTTTTGACCTGTGCAGAAGTGGCACGTTTTCACATTTTATGTTTCCTGATATGTTAAACTCAGCAGACAAATAGAAACTGTGCAGTATAAACTGAAAAATGCCATATTTAATTGTGCTCTGTAGATGATTCTGCTTCACTCATTTTCACATTAGTAAACAAAACAAGTCATTTGACCAGAGGGGCCCAAGCGTTTGTATATATAGGCGTGACTGTATATATAGGCCCGTACGTATACAGGACTATTAGATCAGATGTGTAGATTGTAGATCTAATGTATGTAAATTAGCTCATGCACCTCCGGACTCGGCGAGCCAGAGCGCGCTCACGTTTCCTTCGGCAGGGGCGCGTGCACGGCCTCTTTTCCTGATCCTGAAAACTTCTGGATCCTGTGTCCCATTGTGACTGACTGTTTTTCTGCGCTCATGGTCGCTTCTCCCTTCCTCTCCTCACACACACACACACACACACACACACACACATATACACTCACCCTCACATACGCACCCTCTCTCTCCAGTCAGCTCACAGGGTTCAGGGTGGCAGCAGGGAATGAGGTGAACATGAAGAGAACAAGAGACGACTTCCACTGCCCTCACACTTCACTGGATGGACGTTGACTGGCCAGCACGAACCGGGTAAGTGAAGAGGCTGAAACTGTTCAGTGTTCAGTGTTACAGTGAAAGCCTGTAAGCGAGAGGCCGGAGCAGAGGATGCGATTGTGGTAAGACCAAAAAAACACATGACAAAGCCGACGAGGTGCTTTAAAGACAGCTTGTACACTGTTTTTACATTATTAGGTCCAGGAAACTATCAAAGGCAGGAAGCTTAGGCTATTTAAAGCTCAGGTTTAGCCTGTACAGTCTTTAAAAAGGGGTTCTTTAGGAAAGACAGAGGTTCTATATAGAACCGTGAACACCCTAAGAACCACTTGCATGCTTAAAGGGTTCTCTGCATGGTGAAACCGTTCCTCAGATTGTGTTGTATATTGTTCTATATGGAACCTTTTTGAAAAGCGTTCTTCTATTATTACAATACCAAGCTTGTAACAATAGAACCATCTGTTTAGAACCATATACGGAATACACAATCTGAAGAACTGTTTCACCATACAAAGAACCCTTTAAGCATTCAAATGTTTTTTTGAGTGTACATGGTTCTACATAGAATCTTTTTGAAAGGGGTTCTTCTATTATTATGATGTCAAGCTTGTAACAACAGAAGAACCCTTTTCAAAAAGGCTCTATATAGAACCATATACAACACAGTCTGAAGTACCATTTCTCCATGCGAAGAACCCTTTAAGCATTCAAATGGTTCTTTGAGTGTTCATGGTTCTATATAGAGCCTTTTTGAAAAGGGTTCTTCTATTGTTATGTTATCTAGGTTGTAACAATAGAAGAACCCTTTTCAAAAAGGCTCTATATAGAACCATATACAAGACAGTCTGAAGTACCATTTCTCCACGTGAAGAACCCTTTAAGCATGCAAATGGTTCTTTGAGTGTTCATGGTTCTACACAGAATCTTTTTGAAAAGGGTTCTTCTATCGTTACAATGTCAAGCTTGTAAAAACAGAAGAACCCTTTTTGGTGCTATATAGAACCTATTTCAAAAAGACATATACCACACAGTCTGAAGAACCATTACACCATGCAAAGAACCCTTTAAGCATGCAAATGGTTCTTTGAGTGTTTATGGTTCTACATAGAACCACTGTCTTTACTGAAGAACCCTTGAAGGACCGTCTTTTTTAAGAGTAGATTTTCCTAGCAGGGGCTCAAAGCTCATTACTGGGCGTGTAAAGTTCCATCATGCTAATGTATCTGCGTAATAATACGAGTGAGCAGAGCCGGTTATGAGTCATGAGTTATGCTTTTATTATTTTTTATTATATGCATAAAAAATATTAAAACATTTGTGAAGTCAAGTGACCCAACAATAACCCAACAATGACCCATTTTATTCATACAGTTGTTACAGGTTGGCTGTGAAGTCATGAGGTCATCGTCCTCTCGTTTGTCGAGTTTTTCCTCAAAAGACTCCTTATGGAACCGGTAAGAGACGCAAATTTATTGAGAAATTATTTGTTGGGTTTTCTCTGTGTGTTTCACCATATTTGGAACTGGTACTGAAAATGGAGGCAAGGGAAGTTTATTTTATATAGCGCTGATCACACACTGCGGTCATTCAAGGTGCTTTATAAAATAAAAAATATGAAATAATTTCAAATTAAAGTTTAGAACGTAACAAAGTAAAGGAGAAAGGAAAGTAAATATGATTAAAATATGATTAACACAATAGATTTTAAAAGAGAAAAATCAATTCACATACAACCACATATACACACTTTCTAAGCCGCTTGTCCTTCTGGGTCACGGGGGGGGCTGGAGTTATCCCAGCGGTCATTCGGCAAAAAGGCAGGAAACACCCTGGACAGGCTGCCAGTCCATCACTGGGCAGATACACACACACACACACACACACACCTAGGGGCAATTTAGCTTGTCCAATCAGCCTGACTGCATGTCTATGGACTGTGGGAGGAAACTGGAGAGGAAACCCACACAGACACGGGGAGAACATGCAAACACAGTAAGAACCCTGGTTTTCCGGCCGGGGAACTGAACCCAGACCGCCCCTTTAATTAATCATTGAATTGAAAATCAGAACCGTGATCACTCAAAGAACCATTTGCATGCAAAGCGTTCTTCGTATGGTAAATGGTTCTTCAGATTGATGGAGAATATGTTGTATATGGTTCTATATGGAACCTTTTTGAAAAGCGTTCTTCTATTGTCACGATACCAAGCTTGTAACAATAGAAGAACTTTTTTGGTGCTACTTTAGAACCACATACAGCACATTCTGAAGAACCATTTCACCATACAAAGAACGCTTTGAGCATGTAAACGGTTCTTTGAGTGTTCACGGTTCTATGTAGAATCTTTTTGAAAGGGGTTCTTCTATTGTCACGATGTCAAACTTGTATCAATAGAATAACCCTTTTTGGTGCTATATATAAAAAAAAACCTCTTGATACAGAACCATATACAACACAGTCTGAAGAACCGTTTCACCATGCAAAGAACTCTTTAAGCATGGAACTGATACCGAAGATGAAGGCAAGGCAAGTTTATTTACAGAGCACCTTTCATACCCTGCGGTCATTCAAACTGCTTTACATATGAGAAAATATGAAGATAATTCAAATTAAAATTTAAGAAGTAAAGTAAAGTAAAGGAGAATGGAAAAAAATGATTAAAACATCTGATTTTAAAAGAGAAAAACCAACTATATATCACAATTAATCACACTTTCTAAGCCGCTTGTCCTTCTGGGTCACGGGGGGCGGAGCTGGAGTCTATCCCAGTGGTCATTGGGCAGAAGGCAGGAAACACCCTGGACAGGCTGCCAGTCCATCACAGGGCAGACAGACAGACATATACAGTCGCTCACACACTTAGGGCCAATTTAGCATCTCCTATTGGCCTGACTGCATGTCTCTGGACTGTGAGGGGACCCTGGTTTCCCCGCCATGCTGTCATTAATTTCGCTACTTGGAAATGTTAAGTAATACACACCGGTCAGGCATAACATCATGACCACCTCCTTGTTTCTACACTCATTGTCCATTTTATCAGCTCCACTTACTGTATAGGTGCACTTTGTAGTTCTACAGTTACAGACTGTAGTCCATCTGTTTCTCTGCATACTTTGTTAGCCCCCTTTTACCCTGTTCTTCAGTGGTCAGGACCCCCATGGACCCTCACAGAGCAGGTACTATTTGGGTGGTGGATCATTCTCAGCACTGCAGTAACACTGACATGGTGGTGGTGTGTTAGTGTGTGTTGTGCTAGTCTGAGTGGATCAGACACAGCAGTGCTGCTGGAGTTTTTAAACACTGTGTCCACTCACTGTCCACTCAATTAGGCACTCCTACCTTGTCAGTCCACCTTGTAGATGTAAAGTCAGAGACGATAGCTCATCTGCTGCTGCACAGTTTGTGTTGGTCATCCTCTAGTCCTTCATCAGTGGTCACAGGACGCTGCCCACAGGACGCATGTTTGGTTGGTGGACAATTCTCAGTCCAGCAGTGACACTGAGGTGTTTAAAAACTCCAGCAGCACTGCTGTGTCTGATCCACTCAGACCAGCGTAACACACACTGACACACCACCACCACGTCAGTGTTACTGACCACTGAAGAACAGGGTAAAAGGGGGCTAACAAAGTATCAGAGAAACAGATGGACTACAGTCTGTAACTGTAGAACTACAAAGTGCACCTATATAGTAAGTGGAGCTGATAAAATGGACAATGAGCGTAGAAACAAGGAGGTGGTCATGATGTTATGCCTGATTGGTGTATGTTCCCATATACTGTGACATTGCAATCACAATAATTTAATAATTTAACACAATAGTTAAAAATTATAGGTTTATTATGGTTTATTATGTGGAAAATAGTAGGCGCTAATATGCTAATTGCACTGGTAGTGCTGCTATCAGATGCAGCTGTAATGAACCATCTTCATCTCTGTTATTGAACAAAATGAGCTCAGTAGAGCAGATTACAGTCAGGCTAAGCTACACTTTAAAAAGATGGTTATTTAGTAAAGGCAATGGTTCTATTTAGAGCCATGAGTTCTATATAGAACCATTTGCATGATTAAATGGTGGATTGCGTTGTGAAACGGTTAATTAGTTTGATGGAGAATGTGTGGTATATGATTCGGTATAGAACCTTTTTGAAAATGGTTCTATATAGCACCTAAAAGGGTTCTTCTACTGTTACAACATTGACATTGCAACAGAATATAACCTTTCTGGTGTTAAATAGAACCATATAGATTTCTTTAGTAAAGAAAATGGTTCTTTAAAGAATGATGAACACTCAAATAACCCTTTGTATGATTAAAGGGTTCTTTGCAGTATGTAAGGGTTCTTCAGATTGATGGAAGATTTGCATGAATGTGCTATACATGGTTCTACATTGAACCTTTTAAAAAAGGATTCTGTATAGCACCAAAAATGGGTTCTTCTGTTGTTACAAGCTGGACATCGTAACAATAGAATGACCCTTTTGGGTGCTATATAGAACCATTTTCTAAAAGGTTCTATTTAGAACTATCTACAGCATATTTTTCATTAGTCTAAGGAACACTTTCATGATGCAAAGAACCCTTTAATCATGCAAAGGGTTCTTTGAGTGATCATGGTTCTATATAGAACCATTTTCTTTACTGAAGAACCGTTGAAGCACCGTTTTTTTTAAGAGGGTACACATTCCCTGTCAATCTGAGGAAGCATTTCACTATGCAAAGAACCAATTAAGTATGCAAATGGTTCTAGAAATCATGAAGAACCTTTTTTAAGACTGTGGAAGTTGGGGTGGTGAACAGCAGTTTTGAGCAGATTGATACTGAAGCACTGAAACATCAATTTTTACATATATTATCTATGCTAAAATGGTTCTTTGCATGGTGAAATGGTTCTCCAGAATGATGGAGAATGTGTTGTATATGGTTCTATATAAAACCTTTTTGAAAAGGGTTCTTCTGTTGTTACAAAATTGACAGTGTAACAGAATATAACCTTTTTGGTGTTAAATAGAACCATATCCACTCTTAAAAAAGATGGTGCTTTAATGGTTCTTTAGTTAAGAAAATGGTTCTTTATAGAACCATAGACACACAAAGAACCCTTTGCATGATTAAAAGGTTCTTTGCTTCATGAAAACGTTCTTCACATTGGTGGAAACTGTATGAATGTGCTATAGATAGTTCTATAATGAACCTTTATCCTAACAGAAGCAGAACCCTTTGTATATATTTGTGTTATAGACATGGTGGAAAGAAATCCGAACCGTTTCACACCAAACCACTCTGAATGACTCTGTTTACATCTCAAGGACTAATTCAACTACTACAAAAGCTTCCATATATATTTTATTTATATATTTTATACATATAAATGCCCACATTTGCTATATTCACTGTAGAAATACACAAAGTAGTCCCCTTTCATATCCACAAGAATATTTACAAAAAGAAAAACGTATCGATATCGGAATATTAGCCTCGGTATTACTTGGTATCGAAAAGGCAACGAGCTGTATCGCCCATCCGTAGAGAACAGCTGGAATGGAGCCTCTTGTTTAGCCCGTCATGTGAGGCAAAACGGCGCATGCGCAGAGCTGAGCGCTACCCACAGTGGGTGGATGGAGAGAGAGAGAGGGAGAGAGAGAGGGAGAGAGAGCGTGTATGTGTGTACGGATGTCACATATTGCGCATTAAACGTAGGCTACGGTCTGACGAGCGAGCAGAGACGACACCCGGTGTGGGAATCCAGCGGAAAACGGTCCTAATTTAACGGCGAAATGTGGTTTTGCTGCCGCGGCGGTTTGAACATCATCACCCGGAATGTGTTCATCCGCCGCCGCTAACGGTCGTTCAGTTTACACCGTGAGCCGCAGCCGCAGCCGCAGCCGAGCCGTCCAGATACTCGAAGCAGAGGTTCGCAGAGGGAGGGAGTGAGACAGGACGGTACACCGAGTCCCGAAACCGCCGCTAAAACGATTTTTCCCCCGAGCCGGAACCGTTTTTTTCCGTTTTTCTCTCCTCCGCTGTTTGTTTATTAGCCTGCTAACGTCAGTCAGTCAGTCAGCCAGTCTAATCAGCGACTAACCGCCTCGGAAGTTTCTGCTGTTTTTCTCTTCTTTTTTAATGCTCTCGGTTTTCTGAACGAACCTTCCCGTCTTGTTTGTTTTCCTTCTTTTTCGGGGGGAATACCCTTCCACCGCTGCCCGTGTAGGATGCCGGATCAGATATCGGTGTCCGAGTTTCTCTCGGAGACGACGGAGGATTACAACTCTCCCACCACGTCCAGCTTCACCACCCGCCTGCAGAGCTGCAGGAACACCGTCGGCGTGCTGGAGGAGGTAAGAGTTCCTCCTCAGGAGGAGAACCATCAACAGCCTGGACAGCCTGAGAGAGAGAGAGGAGGGGTCAGGAGTGGACAACATGAGCAGGAGTCAGAGAGGAGCAAACTGGAGGAGAGAGAGAGAGAGAGAGGGAGAGAGGGAGAGAGGAGGTGTTCGGTGCACAAGATGGTTCTTCAAGGGTTCTTTAGTGAAAGGAATGGTTCTATTTAGAACCACGAGCCCTGTTTAGAACAATTTGCATGCCTAAATTGTCCTTCAGATTGATGGAGAATGTGTCGTATGTGGTTCTATGTAGAACCTTACTTAAAAAGCACCAGATAGTTATAGATCTGTTATTCTCGTGATGTCAAGCTTGTAACGATAGAAGAACCCTTTTTGGTGCTATATAGAACCATATGCTACATATTCTATATCAACCGGAAGAACCATTCTACCATGCAAAGAACCGTTTAAGCATACAAATGGTTCTATTTAGAACCATAAACTCTATTTAGAACCATTTGAATGTCTAAATGGTTCTTTGCATGGTGAAGTGGTTCTTCAGATTTTTTTTAAAAAGCACCAAAAAGGGTTCTCTCATTCTCATGATGTCAAACTCGTAACAGGAGAAGAACCCTTTTGGTGCTGTGTAGAACCAAATATAACATATTCTCCATCTACATGTAAGCATGCAAATGGTTCTACATGTAACTCATGTCTCTGTACAGAACCATTCCCTTTACTGAAGCACCCCTTAAGAACCATCCTTTGTAAGAGTGTAGATGATGGTGTGTTTGTGGTGAGTGTGAGAGCAGTGGTAGTGTGTTGGGGACAGTGTTCAGTGGTGTGAGGGTGAGGGCAGTGGTAGTGTGTTGGGGACAGTGTTCAGTGGTGTGAGGGTGAGGGCAGTGGTAGTGTGTTGGGGACAGTGTTCAGTGGTGTGAGGGTGAGGGCAGTGGTAGTGTATTGGGGACAGTGTTCAGTGGTGTATGTGTGGTGTGAGTGTGAGAGCAGTGGTAGTGTGTTGGGGACAGTGTTCAGTGGTGTGAGGGTGAGGGCAGTGGTAGTGTATTGGGGACAGTGTTCAGTGGTGTCATGTGTGGTGCTGAGTGTGAGAGCAGTGGTAGTGTGTTGGGGACAGTGTTCAGTGGTGTGAGGGTGAGGGCAGTGGTAGTGTGTTGGGGGACAGTGTTCAGTGGTGTATGTGTGGTGTGAGTGTGAGGGCAGTGGTAGTGCGTTGGGGGGCAGTGTTCAGTGGTGTGTTTGTGGTGAGTGTGAGGGCAGTGGTAGTGTGTTGGGGACAGTGTTCAGTGGTGTGTTTGTGGTGAGTGTGAGGGCAGTGGTAGTGTGTTGGGGGCAGTGTTCAGTGGTGTGTGAGTGTGAGGGCAGTGGTAGTATGTTGGGGGGCAGTGTTCAGTGATGTGTTTGTGGTGAGTGTGAGGGCAGTGGTAGTGTGTTGGGGGCAGTGTTCAGTGGTGTGAGTGTGAGGGCAGTGGTAGTGTGTTGGGGGGCAGTGTTCAGTGGTGTATGTGTGGTGTGAGGGCAGTGGTAGTGTGTTGGGGGGCAGTGTTCAGTGGTGTGAGTGTGAGGGCAGTGGTAGTGTGTTGGGGGGCAGTGTTCAGTGGTGTATGTGTGGTGTGAGGGCAGTGGTAGTGTGTTGGGGGGCAGTGTTCAGTGGTGTGAGTGTGAGGGCAGTTGTAGTGTGTTGGGGACAGTGTTCAGTGGTGTATGTGTGGTGTGAGGGCAGTGGTAGTGTGTTGGGGGGCAGTGTTCAGTGGTGTGAGTGTGAGGGCAGTGGTAGTGTGTTGGGGACAGTGTTCAGTGGTGTATGTGTGGTGTGAGGGCAGTGGTAGTGTGTTGGGGGGCAGTGTTCAGTGGTGTATGTGTGGTGTGAGGGCAGTGGTAGTGTGTTGGGGGGCAGTGTTCAGTGGTGTGAGTGTGAGGGCAGTGGTAGTGTGTTGGGGGGCAGTGTTCAGTGGTGTGTTTGTGGAAGAGTGATTAGAGTTTGACAGAATTGCAGAATGCAAAACTGTGTTTGGTAGAGTGGCTAAATAGTGCTGGGCGAGGTTTGATCAGATAGTTTTGGCTGGGATTTGGCTGAATAGTGTTTGGTTGTGTTTGGCAATTAATGGGTCATAGAGTTTGATCATACACTTTTGGGTAGCTTTTGGCCAAATAGTGTTGGGTAGCCTTTGGCCAAATAGTGTTGGGTAGCCTTTGGCCAAATAGCGTTGGGTAGCCTTTGGCCAAATAGGATTGGGTAGCCTTTGGCCAAATAGGATTGGGTAGCCTTTGGCCAAATAGTGTTGGGTAGCCTTTGGCCAAATAGTGTTGGGTAGCCTTTGGCCAAATAATTTGAGTAGTGTTTGGCCAATTAATATTGGGTTGTGTTTGGACAAATAGCGTTGGGTTGCTTTGGCAAAATAGCATTGGGTAGCTTTTGGCCAATTAATATTGGGTAGTGTTTGGACAAATAGCGTTGGGTAGCCTTTGGACGAATAGTGTTTGTGTGGTAGGTAGTGTTTGGCCAAATAATTTGGGTAGCTTTTGGCCAATTAGTATTGTGTAGTGTTTGGACAAGTAGCGTTGGGTAGCCTTTGGCCAAATAACACTGAATAGCATTTGGCCAAATGCTTTTTTCGCTAATGTTGGGCCAAATAGTAGTAGAATTAGACCAGACGGTTCTGGGCAGTGTTTGGCCAAATAACGTGTAACTCAGTAACAGTGTTGTTTAGGCTTTTTTCAGGGCTCTCAGTTGTGCTGTTAAATATCTCTGACCCTGTTTGGAAAGAAACGTTCAGAAAAATATATTTGGTTTCAAACGCTTTTCTGACCATTTTTGTCCTGCAATGACTGAGATGCTACTTAACTGATCTAAATAACGAGTGACCTGTTGCAGCATTCGCTGCTGTGTGGAGAGTTTGTTGTGACACATCCTGTGTTTACACTGAGTAGCTGGTTCAGCCTGGAGTTACATTTGATTTTGATTAAGATTTAAGTCTTAATTATGACTCTTATGAAACGCAGACATCGGGCCGTTTGTGCTGAAGTTTATCCCTCTGTCAGTGTGGAAGCTCAGTGTCATCCATTGAGACTTCAGGTTCATTTGAATGCGAGTTCCTGCAAGTTCACCATTTTTGGTTACAGGGGATCATTTGCATGCTGTTGCACTTGACGTGCTGTAAGGGTGTCGGTGCTTCCACCTGCAGCACCATTGGAACCTCCACTGATGTGTTATGTTGGTAAAATTTTAAAGAGTGCTTCCTTCTTCTCTGTGGAGCAGAGTGGTCAGAGCATCGCTTATGGGCCTTTTTACACCGCATGTGCGTTTTTGGTGGTTGGAATACACTTGGATTTCACTTGACTGCGTAAAAAGGTCAGGTGTAAACACCACAAGGACCCACTGTGAGCGGATAATGATTGGAAAACAAACGGATGGATCTTGACTGCATTTGACAAGTGCTTTCTTTGTTTCCGTGGTCCGTCTACCGGGGCTGAAAGATTAGTCGTTTTTATTTCAAAGCCGCACTTTTAGACAGTGCAGTTTTCTAATCGCAAGAGCTGCAATTTTTAAAAAAGTAGTTTGGTTGTGTTTGGCAGTTAGTGGGTTATAGAGTTTGATCAAACACTTTTGGGTAGCCTTTGGCCAAATAGTATTGGCTAGCGTTTGGCCAAAGAGTGTTGGGTGGCCTTTGGCCAAATAGCGTTGGGTAGCTTTTGGCCAATTAGTATTGGGTAGTGTTTGGACAAATAGCATTGGGTAGCTTTTGGCCAAATAGTATTGGGTAGTGTTTGGCCAAATAGCGTTGGGTAGTCTTTGGCCAAATAGTATTGGGTAGTGTTTGGCCAAATAGCGTTTGGTAGCCTTTGGCCAAATAATTTGGGTAGCTTTTGGCCAAATAGGATTGGGTAGTGTTTGGACGAATAGCGTTGGGTATCTTTTGGCCAAATAGGATTGGGTAGTGTTTGGACAAATAGCACTGGGTAGCCTTTGGACAAATAGTGTTTGGGTGTTGGGTGGTGTTTGGCCAAATAATTTGGGTAGCTTTTGGCCGATTAGTATTGGGTAGCCTTTGGACAAATAGTGTTTGGGTGTTAGGTAGTGTTTGGCCAAATAATTTGGGTAGCTTTTGGCCGATTAGTATTGGGTAGTGTTTGGACTAGCGTTGGGTAGCTATATATACTATAATAGTCTACATTATTAAAAATGTTGTCTAAAGTTTTAAGAGGGTAAATTTAACCTAGTATCACCGAGTTCTGTGGTGACTGTAGAGTTAGACCAATCAGAGGCAGCCAAACCCCCATGTGTTGTGACATCACAACCACAACTTACTGGCTTTCTGGCACACTACACTCAGGGGTCAAGGCCTCAAGCTAGAAAAAGTGGACATTCTGGTCTTCTTGGCAGCCTGAACCTTAATTTACAGAAAATAATCACAATTCAAATCGCAGTCGCAATATTAGTCCGAAAAATCGCAATCAGATATTTTCATCAAATCGTTCAGCCCTACCGTGTACAAATACATTATTAAAACCGCGTCTTCTGAGTGCTGACTAACATCATCAGACTTCTGCAGTTATCCGATTGTTCAAATGTCATGTGAACATCATACTCCGATCTGGATTAAGAAATCCGATAAAGAGGCTGGATTTTAGCTCAGTAATCAGATTTCTCAGTGCATGTGAACTCTTATCCTGATTTCTATTGGATTTCTCAGTCTGCGCATGCGCGAGATCAGACGATGGATGTCGCAAGATGCAGCAAAACGCTGTTGGAGCGGCGCTGAAACCAAACACGAAATAAAGGATTTGAATATTCTTCATGTTCTGGATGATAAATGTTCATATTTTCAGTAAAGTGGCGCGATGATTAAAAAAAAGCCACTCATGAATTTTGAGTTTTACATTTACGTTTACGTCATGTCTTCTTCTGTGAGTTTATTGGCTGGTTGCAAAGCAGAAATCTGATTACTGTCTGAGTCATGTAGACCCGGAGTTTCCCCTTTATCTGATCACTC